GGTTAAGAGTATCGGCCGGCTTTTACGAGTACGAGTACAAGTACTTGATGCTGGTATCGGACCCGATTCCGATACTGGTATCGGTATCGGGACACCTCTAGTCTCCTCAAAACATGATCTCCACCAAATCAGCTTCTTTGATATTAGAGTTGTTGATTCTTTACTGTACTACATACAGTAATAAATGCTATAATATTTATATGTGATAGTTACTGTTTACACTTATTAAAAAGTGAGTGTTTTTGGTGCCTCATGCTAAAATAAAAAAAGCTAAACTTCATCTTAAATTAAGTAATAAAAAACTCTCAGACTGAAGAAGTCTCTTGGAAGAGAGATGAAACGTTTCAATAAAGAAGAACCCGTCCAGAGGACCTTTACAATTTTTTCCTTTTGAAGTAATAAAGTTAATTATTCATTTGAAGTGTTTCAGGGTTGAACTCAAAGGTTTGTGTTGACAACAGGAACAACACAAACTGTGCTCACTGATTATAAACTCAATGTGGTTTTATTCAAGCAGATTAATCAGCATCAGGAGAAATTTCAACACCCAGTTCAAGAAATGCCAGTGAGCTGACATTAAAGTGACATTTAATGTAAAGAAACCTGTCTGAAGGGACAGTGTTCTGACTGCACTGTTTTATGTTTACACATAAAGAAAAGGTCCCCAGCAGATTKTCTATGCCAGAGGAGCCCAAAGTGGGGCCCACGGGCCAAATTTGGCCTGCAAGTCATTTGATTTGGCCCACCAACAGTTGCCAATGTTACAAGGATGTAACCTGTTATCCTATGTAGAAACACAGTATTTCCATTGGTCAAATGATWATATAAAAGAGCTGTAGTGAAGGTAGTTTTCATTCATGGTGCTGACTTTATCTTTGATTTATTAGGATTAAACATGAAACATGAAATGACAAGAAATATTTAAATCAGATTTAACACCACATGTAGATTTGTACACTTTATAAGGCCACAAAAACTCATATTTTATCAATTTATGAAATGTCCCATGAGCCTTTGCTACTTGAGCATTTGGCAGACTTTCTCCAAGTGCACAGACTAAAAGCAAAAGAGGGACATTGCATAGCTTAATCGTTAAAAATAAAGGACTTTACTTTAAAAAGTATTTGTATTTCATGTATTAAATCACTGCATTTGGCCCGCAGCCATGAATAGATTTTCATTTTGGCCCTCTTGGGGAAAATGTTTGGGCACCCCTGGTCCATGCAGAGAAACCTGTTCTCTATTTTTAGAAGTCAAAGTGACTTTATGCAAACATCAGTATTTTACATAAACTTCAATCAGAAAGATTCTTTTATGCAAACGTAAGTAAGGCCAAAAATAAAATAAAAATAAAAAACACTGCCCTCTAATGGAAAACACACCTTTGTTCCAGGTTTAAAGTCGCTGTAAGACAAAGGATGAATCTCAGGAATTGTATATCCTGTTCAAAAACCAACTACATGAATAAGGTTTTGTTTTAGATTTTCAAACTGCAATTATATTTTTATTTATGATTTTATAAAAGTATAAATGTCCATAATACATGAGCTCACCTGGCCCACATTGATGCAGAGATCTTTAGGTACGGAACAAAAACTTGTGCAAAAATTTTTTTRTTCTGTTTTCTAGTTTTACTGATCGTTTTAATTGTAAGACTAAGTTAATGAACATTAAATGTTAAATATCATTTCCTGTTTTATGTGACTTGTTCCTGATATCAGCTCTACTGCTGAGTTTCATTTGCAGATGTTATGGCGATGTGTCTCTTGGGAGGACAAAGATTTTCTTAGAATTAACGAAGGTTTCATTAGAAAAATKTGTTAAACATAATTCAAGTCTCATCACAGGTTTTGTAGGCAAAAAGCTTGTTTTAAAAGTGGTATTTTTTATTTTTAAAGTGTGCCACAGTTTAWGTGTTACATCAGTCTGTAGTGGTTTGAAAAACAGGATGTATAGCTCTTAAAAATKAATCATGAGTCAAACTTTAAATGTGTTGTGGTGTAGGTCACAGAAATGTTTTTTTTTTACACCGTGTAACATTTCTCCATTTGTTTTACAGGTCTTCATCAGATGTGTCTGGACAGAAGAGTTCTTCCCCTCCATGACTGCTCCAAAGCTGTCAGCCTGAATTTTGATATATGTTTATTATAAAAAATAATAATAATAAATATTTTTTTCTTCCTTTAAATGTGCAGTGGTTTCTTTTTTAAKCTGATATACAGTAAGACATTGAGTCATGTGATCTCTAAAGTCATGTGCTTGTAATTCCTGTTCTTTTCATTCAAACACAAGCAGCTGATGTCTTGATAAAAATCTTTAAACCTCCGTTCTGGTGAGAAAAAAACCAGATCTAGCTTATCTATGATTTACTCAGAGATATATTTTGAAAGATTGACTTTATTGAAAAGTTTCCACAGGCCTTAGCAGTTGAGCTTTCAAGGAACACATATTACAGCTGCATCTCGTGGATTTTTCACAATCTGTTGAGTATTAGGATGACTCAGCTACTGCTAAGACAAATTTTAGCTTAATATCTGTAAAATGATGCGAGTCATTTTGTTTGCCGAGGTCCATTTTTACGAGTCAGTTCACCTGGACTCTTCTACAAAGTCATGCTGCTGCTGTCACGTGATTTAGCATTGTCTTGATGAAGTATGCAAGTTATTCCTAAACAAATACATAATCCAGCACTTGTGAATGGCATGGCGAGCTGTATTTACAGTGATTTGTGGAACTGTTCCAGACCTGTTTTTAATGCAGCGCCGACTGAAGATTACAGGGATCTAATAAGGATTTTCAGTTTGTTCTTTGAGCTCAGATTTCTCCAGATGCTTAAAAGATTCTAATATTATGAGCTGTAGATGATGAGATACTCAGAGTCTTTGCTGAGGAACATTGAGCAAAGTTATCTATTTTTAGGAGCAGTTTCTGGCAGGACAATTGCCTATTTTTACTTGTGCCTGTCTAAAATGCACACAGCCCTGTTGCTAATTAACCTAATTAGTTGAACAATGTTTCTTATTTACATTTCTTTTACAGCGTTTTGGTTTTTCTGAAGAAAATATAAGACATTTCTTATTCACACAAGAAAATATGTGAAWAAATATTTTTAAGACTGTTTTTAAAGTCTATCTTTGACACAGTGATCAAAGCTGACAGTCACATGCTTCCGCTGGTCACCTGACTGTGAGCCGTCACACAGCACCAACAGATCCCTCCGCCTGCATTGCATTCCAGACTTCACAGACCCGAGAAGCACTGAAGAGGACYGGCTGAATACAGCGCAGTCATGCTTCTAACACTGCTTTTCGTTTCCACAGGTAATACCAACACACGGGGCAACATTAATTCTGTTTTWTGTGTCGTTTAACATTTGGTTTCGATTTTAAAAATATTTATTTTGGTTGTGTAACTTAAGTGCGTTTTATCGCTCGAGACGCGGAAGCGTTTCTGTTAGCTTCGGTAAACAAGTTAACTTAAAGGGCCAACGCCGGTTAACGTCAGGGTTTATTGTCTTTAAAGAAAATAAACTTTTTTTTCTTTTAAAAAATACACGAACAATAATGTTTTTCACGATTTTTAACTATACTTAATTGTACAACAGACTGGTTTKATTTTGTTTATGGTTAGCTCATCATATTCGTAGCTAAGCTAACACAGTTTGTGCGCATGCGCACCTTTTGTTTTTTTTAATCAGAAAATTGATGAAACTAGCCTCATAGTGAGGGAGTTTCGATTTCTTTTTCATGAGGTTTTTCCACAGCTTTAGTATTCCTGACAAATAAGTTTCCTTTTGAGTATGTTTTTGATTCTGGACATGTGCCATCTGTTAATCCATTATTTTTGTGGAGGTTTTTTTTTTTTTTTTTTTTGCAAAACGACAAAGTGAAGTCAGTCAAACAGCAGCTTTCATTTCAGTTTTTACAGTTCTTGTTAAGTTAATGCATTTGACGTAAGTAACACTTACGTCAAATGCATTAACTTAATTTAGTTTCTACCCTTTTTATCTTGTCCAATTTTTATCTTTAAATTCTGACCAAAAAGTATCAGGTCCAGATTAATCTGCAGCTAAGATAACTTAAAATCAACCAGACTGTTTATGCTCCACTGTCTATCTGGGTCAGTCTTGTGGCTTTTCTAAATGAATGCCATCAGTTCTGTTATCAGGGCACAAGTTAGGCCTTTAAAAAAGAAAACTGTTGTGCTTATCTCAAGTTTTAACATTTGGTGAAAAAATATTTGAAGTGTCCTTTTGTGCTTCAACATTCTTGCATGTGTGTTCTGTAGACATTCTTACACACACAGCGTCATCTGTGATGACTCATTTTGTTAGTCATGTGCTGTGTAGTTTCTATTTAAAATTAACACACATGCCAACATTAAACATGTTTTAAAACAAACAAATTTTGGTCGTTCAGGTTCTGATTTTAGATTTTCCGGTATTTGACACGTTGCACTGTTCACAGAATGAGTCGCTTTATAATGAACCAGGATTCTTATTAAATGTGAAGTTTAAAAATGAAATAAAAACTAGGTTCACATGTCATTGTGTTTGTTGCTTGTTAACTGTTCTTTACAGCAGTCCTAAACCACAGCAGAGATGTTTTTTCCTCRTTTTGATCAGCTTGTTTTCATGTAAACGTCTCGTTTTGTCTGACTCGTGATTCAAGCAGTGTGGGGAGGGATCTGCCTGCTTTGTGGAGGCTTATCAAGAGGGTTTGGCTGTGCTGCTTGAGCTCTATTGCACATTCGTATCTGTCACCACAGGTCTTGGGTTTAATTCTGTTTAATGAACGAGTTACCAGAGTTGGCTAACGTAGCTGGGTTCAAATTTAGCTGACATTAGATGTGAAGAGGGGGGTTTTTTTGGTCAGAGGATAGAGAAAAAAAAAGGGAATTTTTGCTAAAGGCTGTTTTTTCACATCACTATTTTCACTTCAGTCAGTGAATGGAGATCAGTGAACAATGTTCATTGCACTGGAAAAGATGAACTTTGTTGGAGACACTTTCACTTCTGCTTTTTTTTTATTGCAAATGCAAAACTACTTTTATTTTGTCTTAAACTTTACCAACTTCTTGGTTAGTTGTAAGAAAATTAAGCCACAAAGTGTATGCAAAAACAAGTCAGCAGTTCATAGTAGGATATTTTTCTCCCCTAAGACTCTTTTGCAATGTTTTAATTGTAATTTTTTTAACAATTTATCTGTTTAAGCTTCACAGAGCAGCACGATGTCAGGACTTGTCTGCATTTCTGATGCCATACTAAAACCAGTGAAGTGATTTGAATAGTTTGTGTTTTTTAATAAAACTCAAAGGGAACAGTTCTGAATGTAAAATGATGTATTTAAATACATTTTACTACAATTCTGTTTTGCTTGTTAGATCTTTTCGCTCTGAGGTGAGAAACTTTAATAAAACACAGCCGTCATCTGGGAACTACTTTAAAACTTGTCTTATTCTTATTGGGTTGACCCTCAGCTTCCCTTTTCTGTACATTTTAGGAAGTGTTGACCATTACCCCGGATTACTGTCCTTTTTGAAAGTAACATCTGAATAAGTTCCTTCTCATGGTTTACTTCCCTAAAAAGTCAAACTGTTTTCTATGGGACCCAGCATGACCAGAAAATCAAGTTATGCTTAAACAGCGCTAATTATTTCCACTTAAACTACTTATAAAAAAGCTTTGATTATTTTAATAAGTACACAAAGAGCTTATCACGCTTGCACCTCTTATCCATATCTTGACAAAAGTAGAACATTTAATATCAGCTGTTTACTTACTTTGAACTTTTAAATAATTGTAGAACTTTTGTGATGTGAATGAGGGTATTTTTTTCATGAAGCTCATAAAAAGGTATAAAACTAGACTTTTTGTCTGCTTTGCAGCTGTGGCGACCCCTCTGCTGGGCACTGAGCAGTGTGCTCGTGGCCCCCCCTACTGGTGTCAGAATGTRAAGACGGCGTCTCTCTGCGGGGCTGTGGCTCACTGCCAGGAGAACTTGTGGAACAAGCCTCAGATGGTGAGGCTGATTTTATTAATAGTAGCAACTTTGTTTCTTAAAACAAAAACAGACACCTATAAATAACAGATCAAATGTGCTTCCTGTGGTTGGTTATTCATTATGTATTATTCTCAAAGCTAAAACGTTTCGTAATGTGTTTTGCTTTTTTTCGTGAATCATCCRTGTGTAGAAAAGTGTACCATGTGATCTGTGCAAAGAGGTGTTGATGGTGGTGGAACAACTGCTGAAAGATAACGCTACTGAGGTAAGAATGGGTGAGAAATGTAAAATCTGAGATTTAAAAACCTGTTGGAGGTTGATGTGTGGGCACTGCTCTGATTGCAGACTGAGATCCTTGGGTACCTGGAGAAGGCCTGCCAGCTCATCCCTGATCAGAGTTTGACTGCTCAGTGCAAGGAGATGGTGGATAACTATTATCCCATTTTATACGGGATTATTGCCGGGGAACTGGTAAGCAGTGCCAGCCTGAACTCATAAAGGATCCTTCCAGAAGACTGAAAACTGTTATTTTTTCCAAAGATACTGTTAAGATTATAATCTGAACCGATGTAAATAGAAAATATCCTAAGAATGTTGAAGAAAGGAGCTGAGCTTGTCTGTTTGTTCACAGCCTCTTTAAGGCTTTTCTCCCTCCAGTTAAAAGTGCAGCCAGCTGAAAGTGAGCTACTGGTTAGGAAGTGAGTTTAGTCCCTACATGAGAACAGAGGAGTCATTGTGCAAATTTAAACCTTGTGACAAAGGTTTTCTGTTTTAACTTCCACCTGCTCCATTGAAAACAAAACAATAACACGTGCAGCTTGCTGGTTTAACTCCATGTTTTCTGATTATTTAGGACAATCCTGGTGTTGTGTGCAGCGCTATGGGGCTGTGCAAGTCTCAGCAGATGGCTTTAGCTAAGCTCCACGCCCAGGAGGAGCTCATGTCCAATGAAATCCCCACGGCTGACCTGCCAATGCAAGTTGCTCCTTTCCTCCTCAACGTCCCTGGGCTCCTGTATCCTCAGGAGAACCTGAAGCAGGAGGAGAGTCCGAAACAAGAAGCTCCAAAGCAGGTGTGGCCTCCACCCACATAAACACTTCCTGTTGTTGAACGTTTTGGTTCTGAATCTTGTGCTCCTGCAGAACGTCGTGTGCGACGACTGCATCAAGTTTTTGACGGACGCTCAGACAGAAGCCAAGGCCAACTCCTCCTTTGTCAACGCTCTTATTCAGAGAATCGAGGACCAGTGTGACCTGTTGGGACCAGGCATGTCTGATATGGTGAGTGTCCTGCAGGGGGGCTGCAACTTTATAGTGGTCCATGTACTTTTTAGTCATTCAGTTTTTCATTTTATACTCCCGAAACAAATTGAAAGTTTAACACTGTCATGGAAACTCAACTCTGTCCTGATGAACCTGCTGCAGCTTCAACTTCCTCTTTTCCTCTTGGAGAAAGGCTTAATGTGCTCAAAACACCAGAAGCTTCAGGAAACCGTTTGAATCATCAGTGATTTAAAAAAAACTACCAGCTGACACCTGTTAAATGTCAAACTAGTTAGCTAGCAATTATTTATTGTGTCTGCCTGGTTAGCTCTTTATAAAGTAAAACCATCCTGTTATCAGACCATTTAAGGTGGAGCTAGATCGTGTTTAAAGAAATTGGCTAGACTCTATCAATAAAATGTCTGCAGTTAGTTGGTTAAAGAAATGCAAACGTGGTTAGCTAGCATTTGTTTAATTATTTCCAGGCAGCCGCCACTGGCTCCACATTAAATGGTCTGACAGTTAAACTTGTTTAAGAAAAAGGAAATGACGGACTGTTTTTCTCATTTTCTAAGAGTATGAAATAAAACAGAAGAACATTCGTTCTTCAATCAGTTAAATGACCAAAACATTCACGGACCTACCATTATTGTGCGTTTTCTTCTCAAATCCCAGCAAGTGCTGTTTTGACCGTGAAATAAATTTATTAATTCCCTTTAAGTCTTAAATGCATTTCACATATTTATGCTTGAGATGGTTTGACTGTTTCTTATCAGTTTATTTTCATGCTGTGATTTAAGATTGTCGAACAACAAATTCCTGTGGGATTATCTAGTTACACGCCTTGCTTTGATACAACACAATCACACATGTAATGTTTGTACATCAGGACTTCATTGTTAGACTGTGTCAGCTGATCAGTGAGGTCATGTACACTATTAAATGATGAACAGTTGCTGGAGAGAATATGTTTGTTTTTGTTTGCTGATAAGTCAGACAGGAGCTGGGAGACTCTGAGCAGTTAATGACTTTTAATATCTGAGGAATAAATCATTTTAAACCGAATTCACTTGTTTTTGTGAAACTATTCTGGCTTCCAGTTATTAATCACATTTTTCTTATTTTGTATCTTTGCAGTGCAGGCAGTATGTTGGGCAGTACGGCACTATTGTTGTTCAGCAGCTCATGTCCATGGTGAGTATTCAGGAAAACAACTGTGTATCTAACTAAGGCCCAGTCACAGTGCTACGGTTTAGACAACTTCTGAAGATGTCGGCACTCGTGATGGAATAAAATGAACTGGAAGCCTCTTCTGGACACAAATATATAAGCTTTGAGTTCTTTAGTCTTAAAAAGTTGTCTAAAAAGTATGGTGTGGCAGTACTAATGACTGTGTTGTACATTGAGTTTGATGCAGAACCATAGAGCTTCGAGCTGCTGACTTTCATTTTATTCATGGCTTTAAAATACTTGCTTTTATTCATTTTTGTTCTTGATCTGTGTTCCCTCTGTTTCCTTTTGTTTTTTCTTTTCTTTCACCCATATCATTCTGCTCTTTCTTCCCCTGCCTGCTCTGTTTATGTACTCCTCTTCAGGATCAGGTAGGTTACTTTGTGTTTAGCCAATATTATAATTTTAAACTTTTTATTTAGTTCTTCCTTCACCTTGTTCATTCCTGACACTAAACACCTGCTACTAATGTGTGAATAGCAAACTAACAATGAATGAAGCTTCAAGTATTTTTATTTTCTTCATCTGACCACTGACCTAACGCTTGAACATGTGTATTAGTACACAAAATAGTGCCTATTATCCCAGTTCGTTCACATTTAATGGTTAGTTTCCACAGTAAGCTTCACTGAGGCAGAAGCGATCGTCTCTTAAAGCCATGGCTGTTGTTGTGTGGTGCCTGAGTCACTGTGGGTGTGTTTGGTTCACAGCATCTGTGTATCGTATCAGTGACAGTGTTGTGCATGTAGATTCCAAACATATATTTACTCACAGCATGTCACCAGACTCATTCTGTCAGGTGACTTTGTTTTGTAAAGCAATCATCTGCTTCTATCCTCAGCAACCCAAAGAGATTTGCTCACACGCCGGTTTCTGTGATGATGTGAGGAATTCAGTTCCCATGCTGAAGCTGCAGGAAGCCATGACAGTCCCTGCCGCCAAAGCTATACCTGCTGCCAAGCTTTTCCCCGCCACCAAGGTGGGCTCTCCTGCAGCCAGGGTGAGTGATGGACAGGTTTAAGAGCCGACGCTTGATTTGGAGAAGATTCACATCCTGAACAGTCATGAGATGTTCCCTGTTCTACTTTCAGCCAATGGTGCGCGTCCGTGAGTCACCAACATGTAAGATCTGTGAGTATGTGATGAAACAGCTGGAGTCCATGCTGGAGGATCAAGCAACGGAGGTGGGATGTGTTGCTGTATATTTTTCTGTTGGCTTAAAAGACGAGAGCTGCTGCCGACATGCAGTAAGATGCTCTGACATTTCTTTTTTTTTTTTTTGTCTTTCCTGCATCAGGAGCAGATTATTCACGCTGTGGAGTCCGTGTGCTCAGTCCTGCCCTCCCACCTGACTGCCCAGTGTAAGGACCTGATCGAAACCTACGGACAGGCCATCATCGAGCTGCTGGTGCAGCAGGCCGACCCCAAGACCGTGTGCACGGTGATGGCGCTCTGCAACGGTGCTAACCGTCAATATGTTGGTAAGTTAATGCTTGAAATTCATCTGTTAACATGCACAACTGGAATGGAAGAGGTTAGCCTTACTTAGGTTTTTAAAAAAATATTTTTTGCTCTGAGTCAGGGTTCCTGCAGATCCTTAGTCTTAAAGGCCTTGAATTCATCAATCCAAAAATAAGGCCTTAATTAGCCTTAAAATGTCTTAAATCAGTCTTCAGAAGTGTTAAAAATGTTAACACTTTGTAGGATGACTGTAATTCGTATCAAATATTAAAATAATTGGTGACATTTATTTTTGAAATATTCACATTAAACATTCCCTTTTGACACCACTTCCTGTTATTTCACATGGAAACATCTCAACAACTGTCCATCTGAGCAATCTGAAATTTGTTTTGTAATATGTTAATAATGTTGTCTTTCCAAAAATGCATTCATATTTCCTACAAACATTTTACATCACATGTACTGTAAGGTTTCATCTACAGCAAGCTGGGGTTGAGAGCCCACTGTGGGTCCTAAAACTCCAAATTTTGGGTCGTTAGAGGATTTTCATGAAATAAGTTTAAAACTGACTGCTAAGAATATATAATTTTAATCTATATTTGACAAAATGGCAGTTGGAAATGGATAAAAAAACAATTGGTCTATTAGTAATATTTGATTAATTCAACCAAAAATACTTTGATTCGTGAGTTTCTGACACAATTTAAATTTTTGTCATTTGAGTTAATTGTGAAATTGGTTTTAATTGCAGTAATTAAGTTGCAGTATTTAGTAGTAGTAGTAGTTAAGTAATTTGCACATTACTTCAGTAATGTGCAAATTTCCCCACTGTGGGAACAATAAAGTTTTATCTTATCTTAAATTTGATGTGACTTGGCATTAAAGTCTAAAGTTTTAAATTTAACTTGCCTTAAACAGTAGGAACCCTGTGAGATCTGATACTTTGTGTCATGTAGAGTGATTATGGTTTTCTTTTCTTTTGTTTTCTATATTTGCATTTAGTTATAAAGCAAAGCTTTTATTTCTTGTATGGCTAATGACTGTAAATCTTTAGTCACACTGGACCAGCCTCGTTATAAGGCCGGCGGTTACTGTGAGGTRTGCAAAATGGTCGTTAGTTACATCGACGGCATTTTGGAGAAGAACGCAACGGAGGCTGAGATTGAAGAAGCTGTGAAGAAAGTCTGCAGCTTCCTGCCTGACGCTTACAGGACCGAGGTATGTGTGGTGCCTTTTTTATTAACTTTTTAATAACCTTATATTCTTGCATGAGCCCTAAAATAAGATCTTGTCTGTCTACAGTGCGACCAGCTGATTGAACAGTACGAGCCGATGCTTGTCCAGCTCCTGCTCCAGATGCTTGACCCAGACTTTGTGTGCACAGTGAGCGATGTTTTAGTGTTTCTGAGGAATATTTCATTCTCTGCTGTAAAACTGCAGGCAGAGCTTTTTAGTTTGGTTTATTTATCTCAGCCTTCAGCTCGCATTCCTGACTCTCTCTCTGTGTGTGTTACAGAAACTGGGAGCGTGCCCTGAAGCCAAGCGTAAGCTGCTGGGAACAGAGCAGTGCACCTGGGGACCTGCATTCTGGTGCAGGAGCATGGAAACAGCCACTCTGTGTGATGTGAGTAGATCAGTGACATCAGAAGTGATCGTGTAAACTCAGGGTTTCAGAGACGAGTCTAAACTTTCCTTCTGTGTTTCAGGCTGAGGCTCACTGCAGACGTCATGTTTGGGTATAAACCAGCATCATCAAACTTCTTGGGAGGAAAAGAATACTGTAGTGCTGCTTTCCACTCAATTTCTAATAGGCTACAAGCTACAGTGTTTGATTAAATTAACTGATATTTTGAATGATTATGGTGTAAAGGGACAACCTTTTTATTTTCTCCCTTTGTTGGAAGTGATWTAAATGTGGTAGGCAGAGCTGCAGTCTAATCCACTGATTTGATTTGCTTCATTTGTTTTTTTGTCTCTGTATTGCATAAATTGTGGCAAATTATTGAAATCTCAGTTTCACATTTAGGATAATGTTTGCAGAACATCCTGAATGGTAAAAAGATCCCAAACATCACATTTTATAATCAGTTCATTTTCAGAAATGAAATGATTATAAATAAGACCTACAGTATAACTAGCTTTTTTTTGTAATGTGTTTTGAACATTGTTTTATGAGCTGTTATGGAAGCTCCCTTTTATTGTTTGCACTCTACACTCTACTGTTTTATAAATAGTTTTTAAGGCACAAATCTCCATGTTTGTCTAACATTCTGCCAATTCTCATTTGGTCTGTGAATTTAACAAATAAAACTGATTTCTGAACGTTGTTTTTGTTTCTTTCCCCTCCTAGCTCGTGAAAATTAACAGTTTAATCACACTGTACACGCTGACGACTTTTATTTTGAAACAATCATATACTGTGTACAAGAAGTACCGACACTGCAGATCCAACAGCCAGTCCCAGCGTGAGAAAGAATGACATCACCACCCCCGTGGCCTCCGCCAGCTCCCGCGGTACCACCTTGGGTCCGTAAATCATGGGCAGGGTGCCGAGGTACCCGTTGGAGAGCCCCAGAAGGCAGTTGAAGACCACCGGGTACGCGTCGTTGTCGAACAGCACAGCGTGGATGTGCTCCCTCGGCTGGTAGTTACAAAACACGAAGAGCGGCACCATGAAGGAGCGGCACAGAACCAGCAGGGGCAGGACCCTGCTGGTGGGACCGGGGACCTGCACCCACGCCGTCACCTGTCTGCCACAGAAGTCTGCCAGGTTGTATATGAGGAAACTGGTGACGGGTGCAAAATACTTGGTGGTCCAGGGACTGCCGCTGTTCTCGTCCACAGACCGGATCCCCGATGACACCGCGGGGAAAACTAAGATGGAGACGAAGAAGACGTAAAAGACGCTCAGGCCAAGAACCCACGACTTCCTGATGATGGGCTGCAGCGGTGGGACGCTCGTCGCTCCTGGACTGACGCACGCCGCAGTCAGCATGTAGTGTCTGACAAAAAAACAAAACAAAAAAACCTACTTTTACTACTGCTGTTGATGTGTACATTAAAAGTGAGGAACAAGGTTATAATAGTTTTGGATTTTTCATTACAGTTTAGTTTTATTTCATTTAGTCTTTTTTTTAAATTCGGTTAGTTTTAGTTTTTACAGTGAATTTGCTAGTTTTTATTATTGCATTTTAATGCTTAGTTTTAGTTTAGTTTTTAGTAGTTCTAATATTAGTTTTTTGGTACCACTTTACAATAAGGCTCCTCTTATAGAGGGGTTATAAATAAATTATAGATAGGTTGATTTATTTGTAAACACTTTATAAATTGTTTTTTACATTAATTAAGGATGAGAAAAAGACAAAACTGTCTGGTTTATTGCCAAATAGTGAGCCAAATCTGTTCATATAACATCTAAAGCTGCTACATTAAACATTTCAGACTGTTTCCACCTTGAAAGTACAATAATGTATACACATATTTTACATATTTTACTGTATTACTGCATTATTGTTCCAATACAAAATTGTGCTTACAAGGTAGAAATCTAGTCTGAAATGTGTAATATATGTAGCACCTTCAGATGTAATAAAAACATGAACAGATTTGGCTCACTATTTGGCAAGAAACCAGATAGTTTTGTTTCTTTCTCATCCTTAATGCATAATAAACACTTCTTAATAATTTATAAAGTGTTTACAGATGAATTAACTATTTATAAGCCATCTATAAGGGAAGCCTTATTGTAGAGTGGTACCAGTATTTTTTATTTTTTGAATAAACATATTTATCAATGCATCCTCAATCTTGGGAGGTTCCTGTGAGTTAACTAACCAACAGCTATTTGGTTGCTAGTTAAAGCAGTTTATTATAGCGACATCTTCCTAAAAATAATAGTGTAACTCAATTTTGCCAACTAAAAAATTGGRCGATTATTTTAAGAGATCCACGTCTCAAAATAAATTGACAAACACTAAAACTAAGGATATTCTATCGTTAGTTTTGTAAAAAGATTATGCAGTTTTAGTTCTAGTTTTCTTATTTTATTACAGTTTTTATTTATTTTAGTTAACTAAAATGTTTTTTTTTTCAATTTCAGTTTTCATGATTTAGTTAGTTTTAGTTAACTCCAATAACTCTGGTGAGGAAACAGAGGTTTTTGTACTTACTGACCTTGAATATGCCAGTTTGGGCAGAAGCAAATATGAAACGATACAAAGCAGGATGAAGACATCAGCTAYGACAAAGTAGGTGAGAGCGTTGTTGGTTACATCCTTAACCACAGCGAGGCTCACGATTGACGCCACTGCACTCAATGTTCCTCCCATGGCCTGACCTAAAGAAGAAAAACTAGTCAGTACCCCTTAGCATTACCACTTCTTGTAGTGTCCTGWGGGGAGGGGTACTTTGGGACAGTGTCAAAACAAAAACTCATAATCAATGTTAAATATCAAATAAATGTAATTAGATTTGAATGAATAGTTWATACAGTTTTTAAAAGTTTGAATCATTTGGAGAAAAAAAATAAGGCARTATATCGCCTTGCTTACAGTATGGCGATATATCATGACCCGTGTCATGATACGTATTGTATCACGAATACACAGTCCTAGTAATATATATACCTGGAYTGGCAGAATCTGGTGGTACCAGAAGCTAAAGGAGTCTGTAACAACAAAATAAGCTGGTTGTTMGRGAGGATTTGGCTAATTTTTAATGTATGCAACCCACATACTCCGCTCTACTGCCAAGTATTTATTAYATACAGTGGTGGGCACAGTTCCACTAAAGCACTAATAGGGGAACTAATTTCCTGATTAGTGCTTTTGCAAATTAAAAAATTTAATAGTAGAGTAGCGCTTGCTAAATTTATAGAATTTCAATTCTCTGTATGTGTTGTACATATGAAGCACTGGAACCCTTTTAGATCAGAACTGAAGCATTTCTTGAAGGAAAACCAGCTTTTGTGGTCATGAATAACTGAACTGTCACTTTTTAATGATTTGATTTTAAGTTGGTTTTATGAGTTTATTAGTGAGTTTTAATATTGTGATGTTTTTATTTAACTGTATTTTACACTTTTATTTCATGTTGCTAAAAGCCCATAGGGACGGGCATTGCAAATTAGCTCAGGCTATAAATGTTGTAGTGCACAGTATTGTTAATACTTGACACTTGTCCCTATTGAAATAAACAAGAAATGAACAAATGAAATGACAATAAAACTACTTGAACTTATAGGCTAAATTTAGACGCACTAACTGAGGTCTATGAATGTTATTGATCAACGTTAATATTAACAGCTGAGGGTGAAAGCTGTCACTCATTTTGTTCATGTGTGTCACTGATCCACCAAGTGACAATATATGAACCCAAATACAGCTGTGAATGTCAAAAATAAGTCTTAAGAGAGCAACATAACAATATGTGACTCATGTTGAAGTATGTTCATGGGTTGACTGGGTTATTTTAGTGCTTTAGAATTAGCTTTTGCTAAAACTTTCAGTGTATTAGTGCTTTAGAATTAGGGGACCTAAATATTTGAGTTTTAGGGCTAGTGGAACTAATTTTTAGATTAGTGCTGCCCACCACTGATTATTTCTTATTTATAGCTGCTCTTTATATACTCTTGTGTATTTATTAGGCTTCTTAAACTGGGACCTGAGTCTGAATTTCGTACCATAAACATGCAAATGTGAGCTTGCTCAGCCCACGAATGCATGTTCCTTACAAATGTGGCACCATTTAAAAGGGAAATTAACAGACTTTCCAACTGTATATAAKATTTATTGCCACAAAGCGTTGTTACAAATTTACTTAGAGTAATTTTTGTGCCAAGTATAWATAAATAACACAGATCCCTGAGTTGAAATGAGAATTCTACCTGATATGAGAGCCTGAGAGATCCTCATGGGAAAATAGCCACTGATCCCAAACACGCTGCCGTAGAAGATGTTGGAGGCTCCGCTGATGACAACCACGCTGGCAAGAGTCCCGATAAAGAACTCCATACTGTGCTCGGACGAGTCCACCTTCACAAACACAGTGGTCACCAGAAACACCAGGAGGATCACGAAAAGAGACGAGAGGATTCTGACGTCTGGGGACAACCTGTCGTCAAAAATACACAAAAAAAATGTACTGGGATTCATTTGGAGTTTCATAAAGAACAACTTAATTATAATATCTGTATCGATGTTTCTACTTGTTAGACCAAACAGTCACGAGCTGACATCATGTGTTCAGAAGAATGAGTGTGGTAACCACCTGTTAACAAGGAAATAGTTGAGTATYAGACACAGCACTGAGGGCACGGTGGAGGCGACCGACAGGTAGCTTTCAAAGTTGTCCTGTGAGGAGAAAAACAAAAAGGTGCTAATTTGAATAAGAATCACACAATTGTTATTTCCACACAAACTACGAGGAAGTGAAAGGACAGAGAAGAACTAAAAGCATTCGTTTAGTTTCACATCTCCTCTCGATGGATTTAAAAGTCGAAGCTAAAACTCGCCGACCCCGCCTTCTACTCACACTGATGTCTGAGTGCTGCTGCCCGCCGGGGTCGCTGCTGTTGCTGAACTTGTACGCCCAGTACTCCCTGGCGGTTATGAAGAAGTTCCAGGGCAGCAGGGAGCCGATGCCCATCAGGAAGAAGACGACGTAGACCAGGTTGTACGAGTCCTCRGGGCTGTAGCGCACAGCCAGGGGCGTGGAGGTGTGTTTGGGCAGGAGAGATGCGGGGGCACTGTGGTCCTCGGCCTCCTCATCCTCAGAGTTCTGCTCGTTATATAAATGCGGCAGGTAGGACGAGTTGACGCTGGGCAGCGCCGGGTTCGAAYTTTYCATTTTCACAGAAAGGATCCAGGAGACTCACAAAAAAAAGACTGAGGAGACGGTCAGTGGATCCGACCGAAAGCTGTGAAAGAGATGGGAAACATGAAAAACAGAACAGTGTTTGGGTCAGTTTCATTTAGGTTGTTCTCAAATTCTCATCTACACTGTACAATAATATATATAAATTTTACCAGACCCAAACCAGTCGTCATTCCAAATGTGGAGGGAGTTTCAGAGAAACTGAGACGTTTATTCTCTAAACATGACGTCCCAGTGGCTTTCAAACCCCAAAACACGTTACAACAAAGGTTAGTTCACCCCAAAGATCGAGTTCCTCGGAAAAAACAGAGTAATATAGTATATGCTGTTAAGTGTCAGGAGGACTGTGATCAGTTTGGGGAAACAAAACAGCCACTGTTCAAAAGAATGAGCCAGCACAGACGAGCTACTTCGTCGGGTCAGGACTCTGCAGTTTACACTCATCTACAGGCCAGCGGTCACTCTTTCAGGGATGAAGATGTTCTCATCCTTGATAGAGAGGAACGTTGGTTTGAGAGAGGAGTAAAGGAAGCCATCTTTGTGAAGATAAAAACCGTCCACCGTTAAACAGAGGTGGAGGCCTTCGTGCCCAGTTGTCCTCCTCCTACGCTGTTATTGCAAGTATGACTCCGCCCCCTGTGAGCAAAAGGTGTGAATCAGGGCCCCAATGATACCAATACAATGAGGGAAAGAGACAAAAACAAGGGGACGTCGAGCCCCGCTTGCACTCACTACATACACATAACAAAACACCAAATAACCACAGCCGAAGCATCCAAACCAATGGGTCAGGTGATGGGGCACATGACCCTCTATGAACAATAGAGCTAATCAAGCCTATTGTTAGGCGATGACCCTCTTTTGCATGTGACTAACCTGTTTGTCCATGTGGAGGCAGTGSTTATAAGGCTGAGTTCACCTGAAACTCATCAGACTGAAGAAGTCTCTTGGAGGAGAGACAAAACGTTTCACTAAAAAATAAGCCATCCAGAGGACCCAGTTATATTTTTTTTCTTTTTGATATAAATTTTAGTTTCGATTCAGTGGTCATTCCAGACAGGAAGACTGTACTGGTGGATATCTTAAAGTACCTGTTACATATGCTTCAAGAACAAAAAGTCAAAGAAAACATCTTTATATTTAAGAAATGGCATAATACACACAACTTTTACACATTTTGTCACATAACTGACAGACTTTCTTTTGAACTTGGCTCAGTCAACGTAAAACAGGAAGTGACATCAAAGGGGAAGTCTTTAAGAAAAGGAACACCCTGGTCTTTGTTTATAGAAACAATATTATTTGAACTCTGACTCTTCCTCAGCTCTCTCTGATATTTAGTGWCTTGAAATAATCTAAAGGAACGGCAGATTCTTCTCTACAGTCTGTTGTAGCAACACTCTGCTCACATGCAGACATTCCCCTTTGACATCACTTCCTGTTACTTCACACGTGAATATCTCAAGAACGGTTCATCTCAGCAGGGTGAAATTTGTTTCGCAACATATTAATTAATGTTATTTTTCCAAAAACAATTTCATATTCAATACAAAAATTTGATGCCACAGGCACTTTAAAGTTGTAAAAAATGGAAAATGTGACATTCTTGGTGTATGGACTAGGGCTGACATGATTAGTCAACTAGTAACGATTATGTCAACTATTAAAATCGTCAGCGACTAATTTAATAGTCAATGTGTCATTTTTTTTCTAACTGTATTTTTTTAATAGTCAGCTAATCACCGATCAGTCGACTGTAAAAATAATCATTTGTGGCAGCTCTAATTACCAATACTACACATGTGTCAAGGACAGAAAGGCAGAYGTGGCAGTGGAAGGTGCCGCAGCAGTTTGGAGAGAAAAACAAAGTTTTAAAAAAGACAATGCATCAACTATTAAATTAGTCGACGATTTTAATAGTCGACAATAACCGTGACTAGTCGACTAATCGTGGCAGCCCTAGTACGGACAAATGCTCACAAGACGACGGCTCCCAACCTTAATAAATAAATAGAAATATCTCAATTTTTAAAACACCAAAAGGTATATTTGTGACACTTTAGGGTTGCTCCCACATTCCTTATTTTGAGTTGTTCCACCCTTCCACACCTTACTTTAGTAAGTAAGTAAGTAAACTTTATTTCTATTAGGTCTGGGCGGTATACCGTTTTATACCAAATACCGGTTTTTATTTTTGTTATGATATGAATTTTTTGAATAACGGACATTCTGGTTTAAATAGCGGAATGTTTTGTCGCGGCCGCCAGTGAACTGTTGTTTCCCGGGGAACATTTTTCCTTGCTGCACCGCTATGTGCGTTAGCATGCTAATGTTTGTAGCAGCTAGTTGCAGCAGCGGGTGGCGATTCCGCTGCTTATATTGACTGACGTTTAAAAAAACATCCCGTTTTCGCCGTTGCTGAATGTAGCAAACACTAGGGCTGTGTGTTGGCAATAATTAGGCGATACGATACATATCATGACAGAGGGGTCACGATACGATATATCCC